CCCCCCCCCTCACCAGAAACGGCAGTGTATGAGTTTGAAGCAGCAACCCACTAGAATTGGAGCTGAATCCCTGGTCCATGGAACTACCCCTTATCAAATCCACCTTGCCAGACAGAAGTATAGCAGTTGCTGATATGATTTTGTTCGAAGCTGTGATGAAAATCACACTCATATGACCTCATGCAGTTGCGAGTGCTGTAAAACTCTTACCAAACTGAACTGGTTGAAAGGAAATTTCAAAAGTGAAAAGCATTAATGATTCAGCCCCCCCCCCAAAAAAAAATTGAAATAAAAAAACAACAACCCCAAAAGCCCCCAACAAAATAAGAAAAGAAAAATAAAAACTGTTCCAAGACCATGTGAAAATAACAAGCAGGCAAGCAGTTGATTCTTGATGGTTTTAAATGAAAAAGCTTCAAAAAGAGGACGTACAATGAGTGGTGTTCATTGACAAGCCACTTCATGGAAGAATTTTCGCAGGGTTTGTGCAATAACTATAAACAGCAAGAGAACAACATAGTGCGTATGTGTGTAATGAAATTTGCAAAAAATCAACCTTTTACTTTTAACAAAATCAGAAGCCCAAATAGCAAGTAAGAATAGGTCCAGTTTCCACATTCTATTTTGGCTATGGGATTACAATGTACATGTTGTAGCATACTATTATAAACACATATTGACATCTTAGCGAGAGATGACCTTGTCACCAAAGATGTTCTTCCTGCTTGGGGCACGAGCCATGACTTTCACAGAGTAGATAATCACAGGTAAATGAGATGCTTACTAGCAACCAAGCATCAACGGGACTATAGTCTCGTACAGTGCCATTTCAGATGGAAAGAGAACCAAAGCAAAATGCGGGAGAAGAGTTGACCTTCAGACCAACAACCAAGTGAAGGGAGAATCCCTTGCCAATGAAAAGTTTCTTAAGTTTAGCCAGAATCACTGACAGCTTGAAGGTTTAGAAATAGAAGTTGTATCGCACATTAAGTAGGGTATGCCGTTGACATTTTACACAAAAGATATAAGATGGATAAGAACAGGCAAAATAGAAACAGCTTCTGGTATGCACGCCCAACAATTTCCTCAAATTTTTTTTATCTGATCTCTATAAGCAGAGTCAGCAAGCGGTCAATGGTACTCAAAACATCGTCAAGCAAAACAATATCTCCTACTCTAGGAAGAAGGGTTTTTTTGGGTTACTTTTACCATTTCATTGGATAATTAAATATATCAGATGAAAACATTTTACCAACTGATCATTTGACAAGTTTCCATAACAACAAGTAGTTAGGTGAGAAGATCCCTAGTACCGGTACATCATTTCAATGCAAAACAAAATGAAGAAAATCAGGAGCATATTGATGAGACTGAGAGATAATTACATTTTATAGAATACAGACCTGCCAACCCTTCAATGACCAAAAATAGGAGTTTTTCTCACAATCTTCCCAAAGAGTCTCTGAGATGGGGAAAGAAAAATTATAGTCTTCAGGACCCCAGCAGATAAAGATTGCTTTACGAATCAACCATGGCAAAAAAAAACGTGTGTATCAAAAACATATGCAAATAAATATGTGTCTTTTTATATCATTTACAAGTTGCCTACACACTGGAAACAGAATTTAAGGGGGGGTAAAAAAGGATTTTATGGAAATCCAATCGGAGTTCTTCGATGGGCAAAACATTTTTTTGTAAATCAGAGGGCTCTGATTTTATCGGAGAAGTTGGAAGGCATGAGTATACCAAACCTTTTGGTCTACAACGAGAGAAACAGGAATATCGGCCTCCCTCTGATAAGCATTTCCAAGCAGGTATCACACAGCAAGACATCAAGCATTTTGGATAAAATCTCACACTTCTTTGATCTGGGATCTGCTCTGACACACAGCACACATATGATAACAAACTATGACCCGCACATCTCAGGGTTACACAAGCACCGGACCCTGTAGGTACATGAAGGACATCGTGATGGTTTTGAAATACTCAGCTCAAGGAAAGTGGAAATAGTTCTGCAGTTATTAGCAACAGCTTGGAGTATTATCACACTATTACGCTGAAAGATCTACAAAGAGACCAAGGGTTCATGCAGCTGATCAAGATAAATTTAAGAAAACAGCAATATATTTTTTTTTCATAATACAATACACATATTCAGAAGAGAACATCCTGGAACAAGGGGGAAGAAAGAAATAGGGAGACATATACGCAAACAGAACTTTAGACATACATGTATATTCTATAAAAGAAAAACTATCCACTATAGAGTCCAACTATACCTTGCCTTCTGTGACATCAGAAGGTGTTACTCCAGAGAGAGAGAGAGAGAGAGAGAGAGGTCTCAACTTTTGACACAACCTGCCCCGCCCATTTCTCATCATACTCTCTCCGCACTCTTCCTTTCTCCCATCTCAAAAGCGAGACATCACATGACGGCTTAGTGCAAAGACCTAGATTACTTCAGTATACAGAGATAATCAGCAGAACTAATGCACAGCAAGTTCAGAAAGTTGGCAGTAGAATCTCGTAAAACTTTTCTTGGCAGACAATAATGCCATGCAACAACTTGTAATTCTCGGTTTAACTTAACAAAAAAAATGGCATCACAGAAACATTTGGAGTACATCTGATCAATTCTCCATGAAAAACAGACAGTATTTTGGTGAATGTTAGAAGTGGAATCAACAGGCAACAAACACTCTATACCAACTCGGTATATATTACTGAAAAGGGCCCTTTGAGAGATAAAAAAAAGCCCAGACGAGGAGAAATCCATGGAAAGTATACTTTATACAACAAACGAGGTAATGCCAGTCACATCACACAGTACAACACCACCATGAAAGAAAATATCTTATTGCTTTCTGTCACTCAAGTATCAGTACAACAATAATTGTTAAAAAACACAGACAAGACACTTCCTATTTCCTTCTTACACAAAAATCCAAATGATTTAAATGGAGCAGTATCGAACATTACACAGTGAGAGATAATGTGTGCGGTCAGTCGAAATGGGACACCAGTTTAAGAAAATAACAATAGTTTCCACAACGGAATTTACGGCACTTATTTTCAGAGTCACTATCATCAAATTAGTATCTTTCCCCCTCACAACCCAGCGCAACTTCAAAAAGTACTTCGTCGGTCGTGAAAGTGCGTTTTCGAGACATCTTTCAAGCTTCTACACCCATCAAAAACAAAGAAACCACTGTTCATTGGAAAATTAAAATATTCAGACAGAGCTAGCATCGCCGTATTTGCGTATTTTGGTAATAACAAGCAGAACTAGCTTCTTTGACGAGACCGTATCTCTGTTCCGAGAATACTCGTAGCCCGGGCTGGTCCTTGTTACCAGTATACTCGTAGCCCGGATAAAAAGAGTTAAATGTATACCGCACAGTGAGCCAAGATGCAGTCCTCGTGCACAATGTACATCCTAAAATCAGCTATTTTGGCAATTGTGTGGACCATTACATGAGCACCATGCAAGATTTTAAAGTTGTATTACAATAATAGCTTAGAACGGAATTCTACTTTAAACCTGAAGAAAGATTCAAAATCTGCAATACTGTACACGCATGAAACACACTAGTCCTTGATTCTGAACAGGACTGCAAAATGACTGACACTGCTGTTCTGGCTCATAAAAATTGGAACGAAGTAGAAATGGAAAAAAAAAATAAATAAAAAAATCTTCCGCCACGAAAGGGTCAGCGATCTCTTTTGTGTTGTTTATCATTACAACAAAGGAGAGAATGGGAGAAATGAAGAGCCACCAATGCATGGCCCCTTTAGAACAAGGAATGGGACATCAATGAGGATTCAGATCTGGAAAAAGTTGTTGAGTCAGACAGCAAGGACAAAGAATACAGGTCTAGAACTGATAAATAGCCCATCCTTGACTAACCAGAAAATGTGGATGGGCCAATTAACATCGAATGCTATCTATGAATTAAAACATCACTGTATAATCTATCTTTCTGCTGTTTATGGGATGTTTTTATCACATCCGGTTATTGTTGTTGACATTTAAAAAAAAGAAAAACATGTATGGTGATTTTCTTTTTCTTACAAGAGGGAATTATTCTCAGAACGGGGCTTATGGTGGATATAGACAGGATGAAGATTCTGGACAGAAAAAGGAAAAAAAACCCAGATCAGGGGAGGATTTGAGAATCTTGACATCATAAGAACTTACCTTTACATAAACCAGTAGTTTAAATATATAACAGATACAGTCAAAATTGTACAAGAAGGTTATCCGTTGCCAAGCAGAAATGTGGTTATCTTAGACAGACAGATGTCTAGAGCAGTGTCATTATAATACTTTAAAAAAAAAATGCAAGGTGGGAAGGGGTGGTTTGTACTGCTGATTGTCTTGGACAGGTGCCGATAGAGCAGATTTGATTGAATCTGTTTGTCTATTCTGAGAACACTGACATTATCCAAATATTTCCATTCACCGAGCCGACATTATCCAGGTTCTACCGCAGTCAACAAGTCTTATTGTTTCCCATCATTCTGGAGCAGAGTGGATATTTTGATTTTCCCATCCACGGAGCTGGTGAGGCAGACACGGGTGTCCTGGGAGGGCGACCAGTCAACGGTGATCACCGGCGACATGTGGTTCTTGAGTTCCATGATGCACTGCAGAGCCGACGACCCAGAGCCCTGGCAACATGAGGAAACAAGACACACAATTACAAATCACGAGCTCCAAGTTATCAGTTAGACAAGAAGGCTTGATTACAGACAAACATTTTCCACCTTTCTCTATCCTGGGCTAGCCTCTGGATGTTATTCCATACATAAAGACCAAACATACTTGTAAAGTCAATCAAAACCCCCGATAGAAGAAAGGAAACCAAATATGAGGGCAAAGAAAAGCACACACACATATCTATATGAGGGAACAGAAGAACATGTGCACATATCTATATGAGAGAAAGAAAGAACACGTGCACATATCTATATGAGAGAAAGAAAGAGCATGCGCACATATCTATATGAGAGAAAGAAAGAACAAGCACACATATCTATATGAGAGAAAGAAAGAACACGCGCACATATCTATATGAGAGAAAGAAAGAACACGCGCATATATCTATATGAGAGAAAGAAAAAACATGCACACATATTTAGAACATGCGCACATATCTATATGAGAGAAAGAAAGAACACGCGCACATATCTATATGAGAGAAAAGAAGAACATGTGCACATATCTATATGAGGGCTTTTTCGTCCTTTCGCTGAGTATGAGGGAAATGAAGAACACTCGCACATATCAATAGGAGAGGAAAAAAAAAGACGAGCACATATCTATATAAAGGTTCTTTTGTTCCTTCGGTGAGCATTCCATCCGATACAGAGCTAGCTGTTTAAAAAAGTCATGAGCAGAAACCTTATAGATAGCTCCACGTCGGCCTGAGTAAGTGAGCAGATGCTGGCCCTCCACGTCCAGGGCAAACAGTCGGCCCCGCGTGCTGCCAGGGGAGACAAGCGTCAAGTTCCGCTGACCAACCTTCAAGGAATTCAGCAACTGTCCGGGTCGAGCCATACTCCACTCACTCAACTGAAACGACAAAAAGCTCAAAACATTAACAACAACATTCTCTACCAATCATCTATGCAGGGAGGAGAGAGTAAACATAGAACTCCCACAACACACACACAGACTCTCTCACACACAAACAAACACACACGCACTCTCTCTCTCACACACACACACACAAAACAACAAAACAAAAATCTGACAAACAAAGAGGCACAAAAACAGGTTAATCATTACAGAATACAAGTATTCATGAAGCAAGAAGCCTTACTTATCGTAAATTGAGTGAAGGAGCATATCTCATAAAAAACGTGTAATTTACATCTTTTTTTCTCAAAACAACAGTAAATTACAATTCAAAAAAGATTTTAAAAAATCATAGACCCATACCGCAAAGATTTAGAACTATACCATAAGATTTGCACACAAGAATATTTTAGACATTTCAGTTTTGGCTGATACATTCCTGACAACCAATTTCCCAATTACGCACTTAGCTTTTCAAAACTTTTTATGTGTCCAACGTCCTACATAACAAATCATGATTTTTTTCAAACCTTGGGGTAGACGTTAGACCATACACACCAAATCAGCACAAAAGAGGCCCCGACATTGTAAATACAGAGAACAAATACCACTCCTTTGCAATAGAGGATGCGACATACGAAAGACAGCAGACTTTTTTTATCAACCTGTCTAAAAGGAATATCACTGCTTAAAAAAAAAAATTATTTAAAAAAATAAAAATAGTAGAGGGTTTTATGGCGCTCGCAACTGCATAAGGTCATATGAGCGCCAAGGGGTGGGTGTCAACAGAGAAGTCTTTACAAGGGAATCAGACTTAGTCTGCTCACCTCTCTAGCTTCAACAGCATAAGGTCTGCTTCCACTATCAAAGCACCCCGTAAAATAGCAGGTCACAAGACAGTGACAAACATACAAAAGAAGTAGAGGAAAATGACAATAGTAAGGATCAGGAAAGAAAAAGCAACAGATCCCTGTTGTAGATCAGGCACAGTTATGAGTGTGACATGAGTCAGCCCATTTACAATTCTACTATGCTTGAACGAGAAATGTCCCTCCTTTGGGAATGGCCTAAAGACACTACAGTCAGTGGCACTGCCCCGGGGGTATCTCACTGCTTGCTCAGGGTGTCCCAGATAATGTAGGAAGAGCGAGCATAAGATACAGCATGTCAGAGTGACTTAACCCCTACTAGAGGATGTATGCTTCTCAACCTATATTTAACCTGTTCCTGGTCCTAATTTTGAAAAAAAGAAATAACTTAATCACTTCTCATTTAATTTTGAAAAAAACTCTTTCAATTTTGAAAAAAAGAAAAGTAATTTTTATGGCTTGAGTAGCACTAAAGGACAGTTAAGATAAGATAAGATAAGATAATACTTTTTTATCCCAGAGAAAAATTTTTCTTAGTTATACAGGACCATAAAAACACATGCAGGTATGCATAAAAATGTATATTACTCTCATTAAAATTCAATATGAAAAGAGGAGTAAAGCTGACAAAACGTACATATCACATCAGATGCACCATTCAACCACAAGCAGGAATTTAATTACAAGACCTTTGGAGTTATATAGATACATACTCTAAAGAGCAATACACATCTATGCTTATTCTGACAATAGTCTTAAGCTAGATGGTAAAAAAACTTCTTTTATATCTTTCTTTCTTCGTTTTTAGGGGTACATATCTGCCGTTGCCTGATCTGTCAGGTGGTGGAACAGTCTCTGGAGTACAATATCAATCTTGATAACATCAGATACTAAAATTAGACAGGAATTTGCATACAAAGAGTAACTTTTTCTGGTTATGTCACTCTTAGAATCCAAAAACCTATACTAATGGACAAAAATTGGTATAAGTGTGTACGCCAATTCAGCACAGAGCATCCCATTTTCAGACCGTACGTAAACAGCCCAAGTAGCAGGTCATGCTACTAATCTTAAAAGTAAAGATTATCCAAACAGCTGTTACAAATCCCATTGAAAAACAAAACAAAAACCACAAAACTCGAAGTATAACAAACGTCCACCTTGCCATCAGCAGCCATGCTGTACACAGACCCACTGGCATGAAACTGCACTGAGTGAATGGGTCCTTCATGAGCCTGCCACTTTTTCACTGCTTTCTGCTGGTTGGCATCTGAAAACGTTGAATAGGCATTAACAAAAACCATACACACAAGAGCACCAATAAGTTTAGATCTTTTCAGTAAGTGACAACAATCTTCTTATTTTGGCGAGACTAACAGAAAATCAAAAGAAGACTGAAATGTATAAAATGGGTGGAAAATGTAAGTTAAGCTGCTATGAAACTAAACACCAGGTGAAAAAAAAACCCTTTGCCAATTGAGCTCCCTCATAATTTATAATCTATAGAAACGGTTGAAAAAAAGCGATAACAACAAAGAAAAAACCTCAGTGCAGCAGTGGCAAAAATTTCAGATGGTAGCCAGCAGTTCTACACGTGGGGAAAAGAGGAAGACCACAATAATCATACAGGCAAGTCGTTGACAATTTTGAGTGTAAAAACCGACAGACGCAATGATGGGTGTTATTCCATTTAATTTTTTCAGGAAAAAAATAAAATAAATTTCAGTCTCAATATTCAGTACAGGTATAAAAATTCTTCACATACAGAACTGAGCATGCTGTTGAGTGGCTGTATACCATGAGTCAGTAAGATAACAGTCACACTTTCCCAAAAATATACTAGGATATAGAGAAACATAGTAGAAAACAAAAGTGGGAAGGCCTTACTATAGTACCCACTAACTGCTCATGTGAGGCTTTTAGGCGAAAGTCAAAAGACACTGTCAAACAAACGAGTAAGGTATTAAAATACACTGGAAAGTAAAAAAATAAAAAATTCTATACTTGCAAAAGAAAAAGGAAAATATTCACAGCATTCAGAAGATCTTAGACATTGACCTTTTGAATTTTACAAGAGGTGACAGTATTACTACACTAAATATTCAATAATAAAATTAACAGGCTCATAAAGACATGTCAAAATATAAGTGATCTAACAACTTCAGGCATTAGAAATATCCCAAAAATCATTGGCCTGGCATCTTTAGAAATGAATGACCATGGAAGCAAACAAATAAAAAGACTAAAGAAAATAGATGTATATCAGAAAGGGAAAATGGAAGTAGATTGGACACACCTTAAGGATACCAGAAACAAATATTACCCACCAATTCTTCAGACTGAATCCACAAAGAAAGACAAAGAGATGATGACTTAAAAGTTCTTGGGGGAGGGACTTAGATTCCGACCTATAGAAGGTGGAATACAGCTGAACACAGGAGAAGATTACAGCCCTGGACAGAAGCAAATGAGAGCTTTTGTTGGTGGCCTATACTTTAGTATGGGGAGAGAAAGGCAGATGAAGAAGCTGACACTGTTGCTATGGGCTACTTTTTTGGTAGATTTTTGCTCATCGTCATCATCATCTTCCTCAGCTCATCATCATCAGCCTTTCTCATCTTGTCCTGGAGTATAGTACCAACAAAGCTCTCCATGTATTTTTATTCTGGGCAAAAGTATCCACATCTGTCAAGGAGTATTTCATCTCCATTTGGTAGGAATCTAGGTCCTTCCCCCAAGTACTTTAAGTTCAGGCCTTCCTTTCATTCTCTGTCCTTGAAACATAATTATCGGATAATATTTATATTTTGGTCTAAAATTTAGAGGCACCATGTACGCTTACCAGAGTGCCATAAAAAATCACCTGAGACAGATGGACATAAGTAAAATTGTAAAGAAACTGTAAAAAGTTCTTCCCGCATCTGATCCGGACATTGGGGATTGCCTTGTTAGTGTTAGAGAGACAACTTCCTGGGCCTTCGGCATCTTGTGGAAGGGTGGCCAGTTTCTTTCCACACTGCCTTTACTTCCCCAACTCGAAGTCAGGTACCCATTACTGCTGGGAGGGCAGGAAAAAATCTGTGTGCGAAACAAGGCTCGAACAAGGACTTTCCGCTTCAGAAATGAGCTCAAATGTAATTGTAAAAAACAAAAATACGGACTGAACTCTGGAAAACACTTTCTTTTCTCTTTCGTAAACTTATGTATTTTGCTGTTATGAGCTTCATGATTTCTAGTAATGACATAGTGCATAACATCCAAAACGCTAAAAGGAAATACAGTATAACACGGATAGCTTGAATTCGTCTGGACCGGCCTCGGCAGTTCGAGGGATCTGTAGTTCGAAGGATATCTTACAAAAATAAAAAAGAAAGAAAAAACGGTACTGCAGGCACAGTTCGACAGATGTGTGATTTCAAGTCTTCTGCGTTCGACCTTTCAGTGTTATACTGTATATATTCAAGAAATATTCAGTTCTGTGTGACTAGGAAGGTATTCTCTTTTAAAAGATAAAACAAACAAAACATACCAGACCATCAAACAACTATATATGAAAAATGCATCAAATGGACTAAAAGATAAAGACACTTGCCATAGAGCCGAACCCATCCATCAGCCCCTCCAGTGGCCAAGGTCTGACCATCACGACTGTAGCAGGAACAAGTGATAGCGTTTGTAGTGCTAGACTCCACCATCAGAGCTCTCTACAATGAAGAAAACATAACAGCAAAATATTTCATCAAATGGGGGAGGAAGAGAGAGAGAGAGAAAAAGAGGGACAGAGAGAAAAAGAGAGAGAGAGAGAGAGAGAAAGAGAAAGAGAAAGAGAGAGAGAGAGAGAGAGAGAGAGAGAGGGGGGAGGAGAAAGAGACTTACAAAAGTAAAATGTGTGATAATAGTTGATAAAAATAAAAAACAAACCTATAACAAAAAGAGGACAATAGGTGATATCCAAGAACAGCAGCATGTGAGAGAGATAAGACAATTAGACAACTGACTGAGCTCAGTTAGACCAGTACCCCAGAGCCACAATGCACTAATACAACAGCTGACCCCGCCCATTTCTCAAGGTCCAGAAAGTAAACGTACACATCATAAATCTCACCAGTACTTTAAATTTTTAAAATGTGAAGTGTTTGCAACAGCTACAACAATATAGACTATTTTTATAGCGTCTACTCCTCTGTGCACACAGAACTGCATGCTTTACAAAAATCAATATATACAAAGATTTTTTTTCCCTCACTTCTAATTTCAATGTGCGCAAGTCCCACTGTAGAAGTCGCCCACTGAGAGAGCTTGGGTCACTGAGGAAGGGGCAGTGGTCAGAGGTTGCACACACAAACTGACTGCTGGACGGGTTGGTGGATAGGTCAGTCACTCTCATACAGCTGAAGGGAGATATAATGTTTGTGTTAGTCATAGGCCAATGACGTACAGAGAAGTGGAAAGACATGGAATAATGTCAAGCAGATAGACCTAGATAAGGAAAAGTGGAAAGCCTTTGTCAGTGGGCTGCACCTTGAACTAGGCAATGATAATGTTAGCCATGGGTAGGCCACTTGGCATAAACTATAAAGTCAATTTGCAGTAATGTGTTAAATAAAATTTGTATTAAAAAAAAAAAGGAACATAAATCAGAACATTTAAAGTCAATAGCTTTTATGTAATGACTGTAGCAGTTTTCAAACTAAAAGAGAACGTAAAACAAAAGAGAAGCACATTGTTGGTATTCTACTCTAACCATCTAAGTGGAGGCTATACTTCAACTCTTGCTTTGTTCTAAAACTATTGTTCAGTTTTGTTTTCCCATTCCTCAGTAGAAAACAGGAGTCAACATTAGCTCTTGTGCTTTCTTTCATCATGTAAATCAGATTTTTTTTTTTTTGCCTGTTAAAAAGTTTTCAAGAAACCAGTTTCATATCCCGTCGAGCAAAACACCAGTGATAAGCATGCTATAAAAGTTATTTATTAGAAGGGGTCAGTAAGAGGATATACACAAAATAGACTGACAGCAAAGACAATTGATCTCTACAGCAACACAGCCCTCAAACTCCCACTATCCACGCTGATAGTCACTGGGGGAATGGAGCTTGCAAGGAAACGAAACTCAACAATCTTACTACTATTATAGAGCACACCAACACACACACAACCCCCCC